TATAAATATATGAAGAAACATTTAGGAAAATATAAGATTATATATAAATATTTAGTTCAGGTTATAATCATTTATTATCAAGAACATATACCTTAAATAATTGGATACAAATTTAGCAATATACACGGCTGTCATCTACATTATTAAGGAGTTTATGCCATAGGTAAGAAAATTTAGTATATATTTGGTTGAGGTTATATTCATTTGTTGTAAAGAATATACACCATAAGTAATTGAAACAAAATCTGGCAATATACATGGTTACCAACTACAGTATTAAGGTGTCTATGAAAATAAAATATATTGGCATAACCCTAAAATAATAAGGGCAACATCAATGATAGCCATATATGTAATAACAATTACTCAGCACATGTTAACAACAAATGACATATAACATCATCATAACCGGAGAAGAATAAAATGTTTGAATATAAGAAACCGAGTTTTTGATAAAGGAAGGCATTATGTTGTAATAAGATTTAGAACGCTGTATAAATAACATATGTCAGTTAATAAATTAAGAATAACAGTAAATGACCAAAAATACAATGAAGAAGAAAAACAGTAAACTGCAGAGGAAACAAACGGCTATGTACAAAATAGTATCATAGATAAAAGCAGCTTTTATAAATACAACTATAGTAAAACTAAAACAAAAGACAAATTAAAATATATTGGCATAAGTCCAAAATAATAAGGGCAACATCAATGATAGCAATATCTGTAGTGACAATTACCCGGCACATATAAACAACAAATGAAATATAACATCATCATAACCAGAAGCGAATAAAATATTTGGATATTAAAAACCAAATTTTTGATAAAGAAAGACATTATATCTTAATAAGATTTAGAAAACTTTGTAAATATAAAATCCCAGTTAATCAAATTAGAATAGAAATAAATGACTGAGAGTACAATAGAGAAGGAAAAAAGTAAAGTACAATATAAAATATTTCATATAACGAACAAACATAACATTATAAATTAATAATCTAGAACGAATCAACCAAAGTAAATTGAAAAAGTGAATACCTGATTCAACGACCCACGGGCAAAACGATAGATCAAAGAAAGCAGCCAAAATTACTGAGCAGCAGAAATAGAGCAAAGGAATATAAAGGAGGCGGTAAGGTTAGTAAGAAATGGGTAGTATCATTAAGGTTTTTAAAGGGTGAAAAAGCAGAGAGAATAGAACATGATAAATAATATTAGCTGAAAGATGAAGACAAAGAAAGAGTAAAAAATTAACATACAATATATATACCAAAAGTTACCAATGTTTTGCTTAATTTCGGATACAAATCCCTGCAAACAGAAAGCAATAGAAGTAATGATTAATTAACAACAGCCGTTACACTGCATGAAGACCACCGCAAAATGTAACCAATAAATAACAGACAGTTATATTTTGGATACATATTATACAAAATGAAAAAATAAAAAATACAGGTGTCAGAGTAAAAGATTATAAAAATACATTTAGATCACGACAAATATTAGAGATTTGGTCAAATTAATATGAATAAATCAAAATATAGTAATAAAAACAGGGATGAAAAAATAAATAACATGGATAAAAAATTTTGAAATTATGAAAAAAAAAGTTAAATTTTTTTCACAAATATAAGAGCCGAATAACAAATAAATTAAAAAATATAAACAAAACAACATGAAAAACGAACATAGATCTAAAGTAGATGACCAAACAGCCTAAAAAAAGTTAGTAAGAACATAGATCTGAAAAAAAAAATGACCAAACCCATGAAATCAAAACAAAAATAATCAACGAAATGAAAGACGAAGCTAACAAATAGCGCAATGAAACAAAAAAGTACCATGCATATACAACCAAAAAAAAAAAACATAAAACATAAAACATAAAACATCAAAGAATATATATATGCAAAAAAGAAAGAAGATGAAAAACGAAAAAATCTGACTGAGAAATAAAAAAAAAGATCTAGAAAGTTGCAGAAAGAAGAAATATGAGAAACGAAAAAATTTAGCCAAAAATTTGAAAAAATGGACATATCTAAAAGGTTGCAGAAGAGAAAAAACGGAAGAGAGAAAAGTAAATCCAGAAACAAAGAAAAAGAAACACAGATCTAGAAGATCGTAGAAACCAACGAACGAAAAAAAAAACCCTACTTAATCTAAGTACGCAAGAAGAAAAACATATCTAGAAGGTTGCAGAAGAAAAGAAACGGAAGAAAGAAAAAAAAACCCAATCTGAGTGGAAAAAAAGAAGCCATGGAAGATTGCAGAACTAAAAAAACGAAAGAGATAAATGACTGCAGAAAGAAAGGAAGAAAAAATCATCGAAATCAACAAACGGAAAAGAAAAAAAAAACTCAGGTTGAGTCTCGAAAAAGAAAAGAGCTGTAGAAGGTTACAGAAGAAAACAAAAGAAAGAGAGAGATAGACGACTACAGAAAGAAGTAAACATAAACAAATGAAAAAGGAACAAACGAAAAAAACCAAAAGCATCAGTAAATGACCAAAACGGTCACAGCAAATAGAAACAAAAAAAATCTGAAGTAAAGGGTAATATAATAAATTTACACTCAACAGGACATAACGTGAATAAAAATTTCATAAAAAAAAAAAAAGCAAGATTAAAACAGAAAAAATACTGTTCATTGCACTGTAATATGAATAATGAATCTCGTCATCTCCTCTAGTATATGTATAATGGAAGCCCATAATCCATTCTCCGAGTAACCATCTTCGGTCGCGTAGGCTCGGAACATGCCAGCGTACTGAAAGATATGGTCACTTCTCCCGTAGCAGACACGGCAACCAAGCCAGAAGTCCCTCTAGGTGTGCTCTCCACAGCATAGGCTGCAGCCTCCTTAAGAGAAGCCTTTGAACTCCATGAGAGCTGCCACGTCCCCTGCAACCGTGCCACGGATTACACTCTCCTCAGATTGCTGCCACGTGTCTCTAATGTGGGGAAATGGTACCTTACTTTCCCACAACTTTTGTGAATCGGAGGAGGAGGAAAACATACCAACCTGACAAAGAATTAAAAATTGATAGGTCTAAATTTGAAAAGAGGATTAAATAGGAAAATTTACGGCTAATGAAATTCCAAAAATGCCCCTACTTATAGAAATTGCCTCTGATGAGCGTGCCTCTCTTTTGGGAGTACTCTGGGTTGTTTTTCCTCTTGCTTTTCGGTTCGTTTGATTAATGTTCTGAACAATATATATGATTATATATACATATATATTTATATTAATATTAAAATTAAAATTCTCAATGAAATAAATATAAAAGTAATTTACACAAATAGTTATTAACCTTTTTAAAAGGTAAAGTTTCGTCCCTATTTTTTTTTGTTTTTTACAAAACGACCACCAACTTAATTAAAAATGTATAATCTCGTTATTTTCGTTAAATTCTGTTAAATTTTTAACAAAATTAATCACGTGATCTTGTTAAAAAAAGAATATTTTAATAAAATACTAAGCAAGCTCTCTTGACTCAGGGTTCCCTCCTCAATCTCACTCTCTCTCATACCATCTTTTGCAGTTGACAGAATTTGCAAATCGGATATGTCGTGAACCCTGCAACATCGGCAACGTCTCGAGAAAGAGAAGACCATTGAAGCTTGCGCCATCGTATCTCCTTGGCCTCGCGACGGAGCAGCCGCGACAGAGATCCGTCGACCTCTTGACTTCGGCACCCTCTCTTCCAAGCGATTTCGTCAAGAGATCACAGTCTCTTGCCTCCATCGAGAGATCACCGTCGCGAGGCAATTGAGAGAAAAAGGAATTTAATAAACTCTTATAATTAATGCTAAAACAGAGAAACAAACATCTTTAAAACTAAAGATGACCTATTAATTTTTACACCTTAGTAAATAGGTTATTTACTTTTATTATTTTAAAAATTAGTCTATTTATTATAATTTCTTTTTATAAAAGATACATTCAAAATTAATAATAAATATTATAATAAATTATGAATCATATCTAACTAAAATAATAATTCAAAGACAACAAAATCTCGCCATTTATTTTGCTTCTTTGTAAACAATAAAAAATAAAAAAACTCAAATCTTCCCAAACCAGCATCCATCAGGCCTCTCCCACAAGCCAAACAAAGCGGCCGTGACCCCTCCCGAAGAACGCGCCATGACCCGAACTGACGGCCCCTCGTCCCCGTCGGCCCGAAATGCGCCCCTCGTCTCCGGCAAGCAAGCTGCCGTCAAACCCGCCCATGAAGTTCTTCAACGCGCGAGGTCAACATCCCTATGCTCGGGTGCGCGAGGTCGCCGTCCCCAGCTCCGGAGCAACAGCTGTTGAATTATGGCCCCCATCCCTACCTCTGTTATGTCCCCGAAGTTCTAACCAGCTGTTGAATTATTTCTTCAGCAATTCTTGTTATAATTATCATCTCGTTTTAAGTTATGTTGTAAGAAAAACATTTTTTCCCCCTTTGTTCCTCGTTAACATTGTGCCAGAAAAATTCAGTCATTAATTACGTTGAGAGAAATTTCAAAATGCTTCTTGGTTTCCTTTTCAGAATTACATTCTTGGCGCAATATTGTAGCGAAATGGCCCTATTGATAGACTGTTATCACAGAAAGCGCACCCGATTGTTTCACGGGTTTGAACCACAATTCTCAATTTACACTGGGAAATGCACCTTTTTTTTAAATAAAAAAAAAATCTGAATCACACATTTTTTTTTCTTCCCCCAGGCCCCAAACACCAATGTAGATTAGATTTCCCGTTACAGCGGTTTTTTCAATCCAAACTCGCAGGAGCTCAAAGACCATACACTGCTTGATTTTCACAGTGATGTAACAGCCTGTGATGATGGAACATTTCACTCTTTTCTTTAGTCTTGAGAGTTATGTTGCTAATCTTGTTTTAGAATGCCACCGACTCTTAATTTTTTCTATTTTTTTTGTTGTTGTACTATATGATGGTTGTTTCCTGGTCCTTTGCTAGAACTTACCAACAAAGCGAAGAAATTAGAGCTGCGAGAAAAACTAGCCAGACATTACTCATGATTGACACACGCGAGTTCTCTTTGTCCTGGGAATAAAATCAAAAGGGTCCCAACATAAGATTTCCAACCAAGTAGTTCTTGTGTTATTCGTCAACCAAATTGCGGATAGTGGACAAAGTATCAGAAACAAGAAAAATCTAATGCAGGAAAACATTGCGGAAAACAAATTCTCATGTTGAAACGACTTGAGCTAATCAAGATACACTACTCAATATTACTTTCAAGGCCATATTGCAATCTCCAAATGGCCATCTTCGGTGGCGCAGGCACGGAGCATGCCCACTGTATTGAAAGGCATAGCGACTTCTCCCGTGGCAGACACGGCAACCAAGCCAGCAGTGCCTCTTGGAACGCTCTCCACAGCATAGGCTGCAGCTTCTTTGAGAGAAAGGCCTTTGAACTCCATGAGAGCAGCCACGTCCCTTGCAACCGTGCCGCGGATTATGGACTCACCTTTCCCCGTAGCGGAAACTGCACAGAGATGGTTGGCGTAGGTTCCTGCTCCTATGATGGGAGTGTCCCCAATCCTCCCAACCATCTTGTTGACAAATCCCCCAGTGGAAGTTGCAGTGGCTAAATTCCCCTGGCTATCAACTGCCACACATCCAACTGTCCCGAGTTGGCTATCACCGTTCCCTATCAGTTTCTCATTCTTCGGAGCTTTTGCAGTCGGTTCTGTGTAATCAAGCTATGTACAGTTATGGCAGTAAGTAACCATGTCACAGTCAGAGAAGTGTATGAAAACATTGATATCTACTAACTGTATCCTATGCAATTTTTTTTTTAACCCGAGAGGGGGGGAGGGGACAACAAAGAAGTTGCTTATTAAGTTCTGAAAGCTAAGATTGGTAATTGATCAGAAACAGAACATGCTAAAGAAGATACCTGAATTCTGTTGGCTTCTTTTGCTTGCTTTAGCCGTTCAATATTTTCTGCAGTAATGAAATGACTTGAATCCACAGTCTCAACACCCTAGAAAGTTCAGAAAGACAGAACCTTACAAGAAAGTCCAACAAAAAAGTGTAACTTTTAACTTTGTTCTTCAGCTTCTATTGAAGCTTGTACTGCAATGAAGATAAATGTGTCTTTTAACTTTTAACTTTGTTCTTCAGTTATTTGGATTAAACCTTACATATGTCACCTAAATTTGAGGTTAAAATTAATTAATGGATTTTGGTGCTGCATCAATCCCTGAACTTCTCAAGAGATGACAGTTTGGTCCCTAATCCCTGAACTTAATAATTTTTGTAGTTTTCGTCCTTTGTACTAAAATTGATGATAAATACACTAATCTAATCAGCCAAAACAAAAAAGTAGAAGTACCAAACTGTCACAATGCTAATAATTTCGGGACTAAACACTGATAATCCTAAAACCAACCACGCTAGCAACCAGTTTGTGAGACTGAATTCCGAAAGACTCACTTGTTCCCTTGCAAATGCCTCAGCTCCATCAAATGCAAGGTAGATATGAGGAGTTTTCTCCATGACCAAGCGTGCCAAGGATATGGCATTAACGACGGTTTTGAGACCGGAAACAGCACCGCATTTCTTGGTTTTTCCATCCATAATACATGCTTCCATTTCAACTGTGCCTTCACTGGTTAACACTGATCCCTTGCCAGCATTATAGTGTGGATTGTTCTCAAGTTCACGGACCTAAAAGAAACCATACAAAAAGTGGGGCACTAATCAGAAAAAGAGACCTAGTACAGAGGCCTAACATAAAATCTTCCTTAGGAAAAACCAATTTATACTTTTAACTAGTATGATAAGCGTTGCAGAGCAGGAAAATAAAAAATAAAATACTTAAAACTGATGGAGGATCTTCATCAATTCCTTTTGAAGAAATTTGAATCATAAATATTTTTTAACAGCAACTTTTATACACAAAAATAATATTAAGCCTGTCTCCGGTAGGCAGTCCTACTGATAGGACTAATTTTCCGACTATTGAATTTGATCAAAATTAAATAAGATTTAAAAAATATGCAAAACATATAGTTTTTGATACAGATGCGAGAGCTGAAAACGGCTGAAAAAATTGAAATTACGGATAATTATATTTTCCTGATCTTACGAGAAAAACTCCCAAAGAATATAGAAATTTACACAATGACCAGTTACGTTTGAGCATAAATAATAGTATTCAACACATTTTAAGAGCTAACTTGACTCAAAAAGTTAATTTATTAGGTCTTAAATCTATACATATAAATTATTTCACATCTTTATTTATTTTCCATGTAGACAACACACGTTCACTCTTCTCAACAAAATCATCAGATATGGAACTTTCCTTATAAAACTCAAGAAATTAAAGATGAATCATGATCTTTCACGACCTCACGCCCTTTAAAAAAAAAAAATAACAAAAAGAATAAAAAAGAAAAGCCCAAGATGAAGAAGATGGACTGGATATATATGCCACACATAATATATATATATATATATATAGGCATGACAACAACAGACATATATATTACAAATCTGAACATCTGGGCATGGCTTAAACCAAAAATAACCAAATAAGAACATAATTAAAAGACTTAAACAAGATGCTTATTTTCATATATGTGTGTGTGTATCTATAGGTATGTACCACAAGTTCGACAACGTCCAAGGCAGAGTTTCCTGCTTTGAGAGCTTGGACGCCGAGGTGGAGGCAGTGGTGGAGGGCTTCCTCGCGAGGCAGGCGGCGGTCCGGCGGAAGAGTGAGTGGGATGTCGCCCGCGCCGCCGTGGAGTGCTATGGCCCACCCCATCACTACCTATCACTCTTACTTTTCCCACTCTCTCTCTCTGTCTCCTCTCTTTAGTAAAAAAAATGACAATTCATACTATGTAATTGTACTTTTATTATTACGTGTGATTAAATTAGGATGCGCTAACAATGTAATTATATATTAAAAATAATTCAACAACACTCTTTGTGTGATACATATTAAATCTGTTAAAAATATTAATTTTTTGGTTAGTTTTTACATTTCACCTTACATTTTTTAACCAAAAAATTAGTTTAAGGATAAAATTTGTAAGAGTTGTTAAAATTTAAAAGAAAAAAACTAAAATTAAAGTTTGGTTGTGACAAGGCCTATAATTCAAAGAAGAAATATGTAATTTATCCTAATTATAAATAAACAAGCTTATTAAAAAAAACTATAAATGAACAAAGCAAATATGAATTATCCCCCTCGTTAAAATAAAAATTAAAAAAAAATTAATGGTGCGTTTAGAACTCATTCTAAAATAATTTTATTTTTTGTATGAAAATAAAAATCAAAATATTTTCAATCTCATACATAAATCATTTTTAAAAATGCGTTTGGTAGTTTTATCAAATGATTATTTTTAGTGTAAAAAAACCTATTAATATCTCTCTTTCTTTCTCTCTACTTGAGAGAGGAGAAAACGAAAACAAAAAGTAAAAAACGACTAAAAGTAGTTTTTTTATTTTTTTTCTCATTTTATACTAAACTAAAAAATCGTTTTCATTTCTGTTTTTTGTCTTTATTGCGCCAAATGTTGTTTTGAAAACATTTTCGTTTTTTCTTTCTCAAAAAAACGTGAAAAACAAAAACGGAATCAATTCTAAACACAGCCTAAGGGCCCGTTCACTTCGCTGATTCGAGTTTAGAATTTGAGTTTTTCTACAGGAAAAAGCTCTCACAAACAATCACATCTAACTTTTTTGCTACAGTAAAAAGCTCTCACATAAAGTCACATCTCAACTCGAATTCTAAACTCGAATCAGCGAAGTAAACGGGGCCTTAAATCTTTAAAGTAATATATACACACACACACACACACAAGAATTGTCTCCGGTCAGGCACTTGGAAAGTGTCTGACCGGTCCGATAATTGTATAATTCTTCATAAATTGTGTATATTTACATGTAAATCGTGTATATTTACATATAAATTGTGTATATTTACATGTAAAGTTATGTATATCTAACATGAAATACAACAAATCAGCCAATATACATATTTTCATGCTATTTATTCACTAATTGCTATAAAAAATACATATTTTAAGGATTAATATACATTGTCGTTTCTTATAACTTAACATATAAATATACATAATTTACATATAAATATATACGATCTATACAAACTTATATATTGCTGTTTCAGTCAGGCACTTTTCAAATACTTAACGAGAGACTTTACCTATATATATATATATATATATATATATATGTATAAATAAGCTGGCGGCACGTGAGCTTTCATTAATAAGAAGCGCTGAAGGTGTAGATCCACAGAACTTTAGAGCACCTCACACAAGCGGCCAGAATCCCGATGATTTAGCGCATTCTCTCCGGCCACGAGGTTAAGTTCAACTTAAGATCCTTCATCGTGGAGCCTGAAACTGCATCTCTAGAGTTGGCAGTCTAACGTCCAGCCAAGTGGCAGCGTCATAATCCAACCCTGAGAGAGCTGAACACCCAGAGAAACCCTAACCCATCCAAGAGTGTGTAAAAAAAAAAAAATTATCCAAGTTTGTCATTTAACTTTAAAATTCAAATATTATAACGTTTTCTATTCCTAAAGACTAAAGATAATGTCCAAAATTATTTTTGTGTTATATGGTATTATTTACTATTGTACGTTCTTCTATATCAAATTTATATAAAATCGCATAAAAATTAAAAAATATACATATTTAAAATTAAAAAAACTTGATCTATTAATACGTCAGACGTATTAAAAAATCTCTCTAAAAAATTAATGTTATGAGAATTTTATTATTATGTATTTTTTGTCGGTTTGGTGGCTTTTAAAACGTCAAACCTATAACCAAACCAATAAAAGAAAAATAGTGACCAAAATGAACTGACCAATAATTCGAAAGTGTTAACGGCTTGCTTTCATTTGTTTTGAATTAGTTGGTTTTCACGGTTTGCCTTTTTTTTTTTTTTTTTTGAACACCAATCTCTTTTCTTTTGTCAAAACACACAAATTAAAGGATATGTTGGTTTAAGAAAATTAAAGAGCAAATGGTTTACTTTGGTATCTCTGTTTTTCATATATAAATAAAATATGATGTTGATATCTGATGGTTTTATAATACTAAAATAATACTTTGACTTTTAAATATTATATTTTGAGTATTTTGAGGTTAAAGTTGAGTATTCATCTAAAAAAGTTATGGTAACCTAAAAGTATATATTTAACGATATTAAAAATGAAGATATACTTTTTAAACAATCTTAAACGGATAGTAAAAACAATAAATAATCTATAAATTAATATGTTTTCTCTTTTTTTATATATATAACTGACATCATTCTTTATTATTTTATAGTAAATCGTAATATCGAGAATATATTCAAATGTAATGGAACTAGGAGCAAAGGAAGAAGAAAAAAATCAACAAATAAAAATCGGTAACAACGCGGATCAAATTAATTAATTTGAACTCAATTTAAAACACTTGTTACACCATTACGTAAACGTAAATGGTTAAACTATCAAAATTTTTTAAATCTAAAATGATCAGATATCAGATATTATAAGATATCTTAGTTGAACATGTATAGGTGCATTATGCAGTTGCACCATTACAGCATAGTCAATTTATATTCTACATGTTTCTCCAATATATACGTGTTTAATTTCCCCCTCTAATCTATGTAGTCAATTATTAATTCCAAGTATGCATTTTTCTTAATTTCTTATCGAAATCCGTGAAGTAGTCGAACCACTTTTTTTTGTTTTTTTTTTGGCTAAACGAGGAACATTTCCTTGAAACTAAACAGAAAACAACAGAGCAAAGGAAGGAAAACGACCAGCTCAGAGTCAGACAAGTTGCTGTTAATGTATATAACCTGGGAGTTTGGTTTTTTCAAAGAAAAATTGCTTCGTATTTTGTGTGTAATATTGGACCCACAACTATATTTGTCAAAACCTTATAACTAATGCACTAAACTCGTTAATACACTGAATTAAAATCAGTGAAGTTACACTTTTTTTTCCTTCACACGCGCAATATATATAAATGAGTTTTCATTAATAGTTATGTCTCAAAAAAATTCAATAATATTTAGTGATAAAAAATCAAATTTCATTAATTATTATAATTTTTTTTATCAACTATCAATTTATTACAACCGTTGAATTTATATCTTAAGATTAAAGCGATACTTATTGATTGGTAAATATTTAACTATCTATTGAAACTATATATATAGATATATATTCTAAGGGCATGTTTACTTTGCATCAAAATGAAAGGAAAAGTAAGGAGTGATTCTCCTTCTCATTTAATGTATTTACTTACAAAATTAGTAATAGAGATTTAGTGGACCTCACATAATATAAGAAATGAGGAAAGTGAATATCAATCCTTACACCCCTTAATATTGATTTTTTATCAAAGGAAACGAATGCTAAATTTACTTATTTATCTTTAGTGAATTACTATATAATCAATGATTATTTAATAATATAAAATGTCTATTACATTCATAACATTACTATTCATATTTTTAGTAAGCATAAGAAAAGGAATGAGGTTATTTCTCATTACACCATCTAATAATTAAGTAAATACATGAAAGTAAATGAATGACCCTAAATTCTATTACTTTACTTTTCTTTTCAATCTCATTACCTTTTTCATTACATTCTTTTACGGTTTGGTAAACGCTCTCATTAAAGGGTGGAAAACAAAAGCTCTTAGATAATTTGTTCCTTTCCCTAAAAAAAGAAATCTGCAAAATGTTACGCAACGGTCGAGCAATCGATCGTTCCTTTGACTATCAAGCGCCGATGTATCTTCAGTCGAGAGTTGGTCGCTGATGTCGAGGAAAAGGTCGTACATAGGATGCCTTCAAGACGACGGGAGTTCATGCATGAGGAGGGTATGCGTCGAGAACTCCGCCCAAGCCGTGAGGTTCACGACGTCGAGAGAGCAGCCTGGTCAAATCTAAACCAAACCCCGTCAACTCAAGACAAGATACACTGTTACAACTGCCACGATCCAGGTCAGAAAATTAGATAACCGATAAAGGTGATTGGCTTAATTTGGTAGCTAAAATCGTGGATGTACAACTGCTAGATCCCCAGATATAGGGGAAAGGGGATGATCTCCTCAGGAAATGTTGAGGAGATCTCTAATATGTGAAAGGCCTATAAATAGAGCCGGCTTGATTTTAAAGTTTTTACACACTATTCTACTACTTAGAAATATTGTAATCAACAAAATATTAGTGCATGCATAAGTGGACGTAGGCAAAGATTTCTTACCGAACCACTATAAATTTATGTGTTCTTTATCTTTCCTACAACGATAATCTCTGATTAATCCGTAAGAGACGTCTGCATGTATTCTTGGAGAGTTAATTATTAGTTGATTAAATTTTACCGTCAACACAAAACATTGAGAGATAAATATCAAGGAAGTTTCCACCAAAAAAAAAAGATTAGGAAGCAAGGAACTCTCAACCTCACAGAAATGAAAGAAGAGAGATAAAAGGGGGAAGAATAGATTCAAAAGTACTACAACCAAGAGCCCACTTACTAAAATCATGGACTACAGAATTACATTTCTTTTCACTTTTTTTTTTATTTGCGAATCTCCTTTGAACTTTTTACACCATTATCTTAATATCAATAATAATCTTATATATATATAAATATATATATATATATGTTTGTCATCTCTAATTTTACGTAACTAAAAATCGACACATAGAATTTGTAAAAATTCGTCTTAATAAACAAGTTGTAAGAAAAAAAGTTGCATACCTCACAACTTTGCATTTTCTTTACCTTTCTGTATAAGACAAACAATTTTGCATTTTCTTTACC